AACTTAAATTTGAATTTAATTTATTTTAATTTTATTTTATTTTATTTTATTTTATTTTATTTAATTTTTATACATTTTTCATTTTTATATCTAAAAATTTAAAACAGAAATAAAAATAAAAACATTTAATTAGGATTTATTTATTTCTTTATTTAAAGGAATATTTTCATGCTCAACAATTATTGTATGAATAATAAATCCTGATTTCTCTTGAATCATAATTTTGTCTGTAATTTTTTTTGCATTATATATTATATAAATTATATAAATTATATATTATATAAATGGATAAATAATATTTAATAAATTAATTATATTAATATTATTATTTTTATTATTATCAATATATATTTATATTTACATTATTATATAAATTAATTATTTCCAATAATTAAAAATATAATAATTATTTATGCATATAATAATAATCCATCTTTATCTTATCTAATAATAATAATAAAATAATATTATATTTTAAAATATATCTAAATATACATATATATATATATATATATATTTATATCTAAGAAATGAAAAAATACATTTTTTTTAAATAATGTGAACTAATAGATTATTTTCGTGTAGAGAATTCCATATTAATTCTAAATTTTTTTATATTTATAATCAATTAAAAAATTCTATAAAATTTCTTATTATAATAAGTATATATATTATCAAATGATTTTAAAAATATCACAATAATATATTATCAAATGATTTTAAAAATATCGCAATAATATATTATATATCATATATATAAAATTGAAAAAATAAAAAAAATTAATGTTAAAAAAGAATTAGAAAAAAAATCTTAATTTCACAAAAAATGCTCAAACTGTTATAAAAGATTAAAAATTTGGAATTCATTCACTTATCATATATTTATATTGATTATTTATATTTTTAGTGATAATATAATTACATCATAATTTTAAAAATTAAAATTTTATTACTATAATAAACCATAGTTATCACACATTTTGTTATCTTAACAGTGCAAAATAATATTGAGATCGAAATACATTATAATGAGTATTGTTTTGAATTGAATTAAGAATATAAAATTTTAATTCAATATAACTAATCTTTTCATTGAAACTAATTAGCATTATTTTTTTTTTTACTTTTTTATTTTTTTTTTCTTTTCACTATTTATTGTATTAAAATAATATTTAAAATAGCTAATAATAATTAATAAAATTTAATAATTTGAAATAATTTTTTTTGGAAAAATTAATGCATCAAATGATTTAAATATTTTGAAAAAATATATACATATGTGTTTTTATCTCCAGAATATTTATATATTTATAAATCAGTTTTTTTATGCTTTTAAAAGATATATAACAATAATATAAATTTTTATATTTTTATATTTTTAGTACTATATATAATATATTTTATTACTTTACTGACATAAGTTAAGTTCATTCAGTTTCAATTTAAAATTTCATTATATTTTCAAGATTTTTAATATAAAATAAGTCTTAGTCACTGCAACATTGATATTATAGATTATTATAGATTATTATTTAATATTAAATATTTATGTAAGAATTTTATCAAGTTTTAATATATAAATAAGTACTTATATTTTCAATTTTGAATAACGTTATATGAAATATATAATGAAATGATATGCTACATAATACATTTACTAATTTTAAATTTAACATTTATATAAACTGAAAAAAACTTCCATTTAAACATATCATAGTATAAAATAAATTAAATTATGAAAACTAATATTATAAGAGCAATCTTTAATATAAAATGTACATGCATATACAATATACAATTACCTCATTTCTTGTAGAAGACATGATGTTCACTGTTATGTATTTATATACCAATCATTATTGATAGAAAATATAAATTTCTTCATAGATATATTGCACCAATGCCACATAGAAAATTCATCTTCACAAAATCAAATATATTAATATACTACTAATATTATTTTTATAATTGTTAAAAAATTATATTAAAAACTTATTAATTTGAATTAGTTAAATAGATAATATAACCTCAAATATTAAATAAATCAATATAACCTGAACAAAATGTAAAATAAATTCATTATATTATCAATATATTCATTATTATTAATTTGATATTAATATGACTATCATTCACTTTATAATTAAAATCTAAATAATTGTTTCAACCTAGATAACATTATACAAATCAAGAAATACATATGTATAATGTATTTTTAAAAATACACTACACCATATTGGAATGTTGACAATATTATAATCAATTTGTGCATAAATGTTGATAAGAAATAATTTAACTTTTTAAAAATTAATAATATAATAAACATAATTATTTTTAATTTTTTTATAAAAAAATATACACAATAAATATTATGATACTGTAATTATATATTATATCAATAAAAATATTTAATTTTATTACAATTTCGAATATAAATTCAAATTTATTAAAATTAAAAAATAAAATAATATTTAACGATATTAAAACTAAGAATAAAAGCATTATATTTAAATAAAGAAACTGTAAATAAAAATATAAGTAAATATTTCAAATATTTCTTAAATGAAATATATATTTTATAATGTTTACAGATTTGCATACAAATATATATAGAACATAATATTGCAAATTCTAATCTGCTTTGTTAATATCAAATAACATTTAAAAAAATATAAAAAAACTTGATACTTTAAATATAATAATATAATTTTTAGGTTAGAAAATCTCATTTTAAATATAACATAGATAGAAAAAATAGAAGAATATTCTTTAAAATTATGAATGAAAATTAATTTTTTTAATTCAACTAAAATATGGATTATTTTTAAAAATGAAATTTACGATTAAAAAATACTATATTTTATTACTATATTTTACATTTCTTAATATCTTGATTTCATAAAAATTTATAAAAATTATTATATTTGAATAATATAGATTATAATAAATTAAAAAATAAATTATTTAAAAAAATTTTGTCCAATTGAATTTATTTAAATAAAAAAACTTACTATTATATACACAGTGTTCCATTTTAATTTCCCATAGGAAAATAACGAGATATTAAGGGAAATAAATCATCCTGTCACTTATTTGATTTTTCATTAAACAATCATTAAACAAAGCAAAATTATGATTTCTTAATTTTTAATTTGAAACTTATATTTTTTAATCCATATGATTGTAATCAGTATTAAAATACTATTTAAACATTTGTATTTTTCCGAAATACAAATCTTCAAAATTAATGTGTTGCTGACATTATTTATCCGATGTATGTAAATCATATAGCGATTGTAAGATCAAACTTATGTATACCATAAAAATACAAAACAAGATCCTAAATATAGAAATATAAATTCACAATATAGAAATATCTCTAAATAGCATTTCATAAAAGCATCAAATGCATTTACATTTGGTACAATGGAAAATAATACTTTTTTTATAAATGATTTATGTTTGTCTCAAACGCATTTAAATATAATCTACTTTAGCAATAAATAATTTGCAAACAATTTTAATCAAGTCTAATAATAATACAATAAATGCCTTTTATTAACATTAATAATTCATTTTATTCGAAAATCAAAGATTCAAAAGATCAAATGGTGGCGAATATTAATTTTAAATAACTACAAAAAACGATGAAAAATGTAACAAAATCTAAAATAATGATGATAATATTTATATTAAATGTAAAAAAAAAAAAGTGAAAATATAGAAAACTTTTTCTATTTTTAACTTTTTTAAAATGATTATTTTTCATATTTTTTTAATATGACACGAGTATATTCAATAAATCATATTAAAAAAATTATTATTTATGAAACTATATACTTGCTGGAATTTATGATACAATATATTATTCTCAAGTATAATATAAATTATAATAAATACAGTAATAATATAATAATATATAATAATAAATATAATAATATAATATTAATATGCTCTAGTAATTCTCTGTTTCTCATACATATTTTTGTTATGTTTTCATATCCGTGAGATATCTTTTGGAGAGTTAATTCTTAAAATCAAAACACACAAATATATAATAACAAAATTGTTATATAAAAATATCGATTATTTATTAATTTAATTATTAATTTATAATTTATTTATAAGCAATTTATATTAGATAAGAGATAAATAGAGTTTGACAACACGATACAATAGTATAATGGAGAGCTATTTCACTCTTGTAATTTTAACTTTTAATACAAACTTATAATTTAATAATTTTTAAAAATTATTATTTTTTTTTAATTATTTATATAAACTTACTTTATATTAATGGAAATTCTATAATAAAGATTTTTTTTAACCAATAGTTATGAAATATTCTAGTAATTTTTAGCAAAACATATACATAATATTCATGATTATAATTTATCGTTTCGTTATATTTAATTAAATTGTGTGATATTTTTTATTATTCATTATTATTATAAATATTAGTGCTCTTTAGTATCTGCATGAACCTATATTTTTGAATCTATATATTGTATGAATTTTTACTATCGATATGAATCTTGAATTGTATCTCCATGAATATGAAGAAATATAGAAATTTTACTATATATATAAAAATATACTTATCGTTAAATGTCATCGCAAACTATTTTGAGGTTACATTTATCAATAATATAACAAAATTATATTATGTTAAAGTAAAAAAAATATTAATATAGTTTATATGAATTGTATATATATCTAAAAATTGTATATTAATAAATATAGTAAAATTATAATGACTTATGAATTGTATTATATGTTAAAATATTTTAATATTATATCATTACTTAAGATATAAAAACTTTAAAAACTAATAGCAATATATTTTATAGATTGAAAATTATTTAAACGAGTAAAAATATGAGTACGCAAAAAGGAAATTCCAATCGATCAAGACCACAAAAATATCAAAACCAAATTGCTTTTAAAAATGATTTACATGATAAATCAAATAAAACAAAATGTATTAATAGCATTCAAGTTACACATGTATGTGAAAGATGTAAAAAAATAATTGAGTGGAAAATTAAATATAAAAAATATAAACCATTAAAAACAGCTGCAAAGTGTATCAAATGTGAACAGAAAACAATAAAACATGCTTATCATAATATGTGTTTAACTTGTGCTACACAATATAATGTATGTCCAAAATGTGGTAATGAAGGTAATATTGTTAATGAAGAACCTAATAAAGCAGAAATTATGAAATTAGATACACAATTGCAGAATCTACTTAAAAGACTATCTGAACGAAAACGAAGAACATTCATGCGCTATATAAATTGTAATGATGTTTGAATTATAATATTGTACTTATATAGATTATGTATATTATGTATATATATATATTGATATTATTTTCAGCTATAAATAAAAAAGATAAATGTAACAACGTAAAAAAAAATGAAGAAGATATAAATGAAGAAAAAGAGCAAAAAAATACAAATAATTTTACATCTAAAGAAGATTTATTACTAAAATTGAAATCTTTAATGATTAAAGAAGTAGATAATGATAACTTTGACATTAATAATGAATTTGATTCAGATTCAGACTCAAACTGATTTATGTAAAAAATATTTTATGTAAATCATATTCATATAATTATTTTTAATAAATTATTGCAATTGCATTGATAATTTTGTAATATAATTGTATGTTTATTAAACTAGTTAATTTTATTTTGATATAATTTTAAAATTCAAAAAATAAAAAATAAAAATATATTTTATAGTTAATAAATATTAGATAATATAAATTTCATATATATATATATATATATTATATAATTATAAAAAAGACATGCTTATAAAAGTTATTTAGTTTAAAGAAATGCAATATTATAAATGATATTAATAGTTTTATTACAGATAAATATATAGGGATATTATATGGTGATAGTATGATAAAATAATATAATTTTATTTCTATCACACTATTGTCTTACTGTCTCCATTTCAATGCTCATAATAATAAATCTTAATATTCCTGACTAATTTTTGCATTTATTTTGACTTCTCAAAATTGATGTTTCAAAAGCGATATGATTTCATAAATATATTAATATCTTAATAGCATAAAGAAATATGTATGGAATATAATAAAATGCGATAATGTACATTGCCGCATATTAGTTCACAAATATTGAATTTAATGGTATAGTGCTAAAAATTTTTTGCAAGTAAAAATTAAAATTGATTGCCAATTATATAATATAGGAAAAAATTATTCAAAATTATGACTTTAATAATATATTAGAATATGTTATTAAGTTTTATAATATATATTATATTATATATTATATATATTATAAGTTTAATTTATGTTGAGTTTACAATGTTTGAAAATTATTTATTAATCTTGTCTCACATTCAAGAAAAAAATGTTTATGTGAAGAATTTCATTATAATTCATTGGTACTTTATTGATAGTAACATACTTTGGTAGTAATATTTGTATTATTATTAAATATATCTTAAAGATATTAGTTTAGCACAAGTAATGATTTTTAGAACAAGTATATCTTTAAATATATATCAGAATTTTTTTAAATTCTGATTGAAAAAGATTGATATATTCTTTATATATCATGAATATATAATCAAATTTATATAATGCAGCAGATTTATATAGAAAATAACATACAAATGCTATCCATATGCATCATTAAAATGGAGCATAACCATTTAAAAATCATAGTATTATAGATTATTGAATCATCTTGGCATCAATTATCTTTAATTACAATGAAAATTATATATATTATATATGTAAAATAAACATGTATTATTTAAAAAAAATTAAAACAATTTTGGTTTTTTCTAGAAAATAGCTTTAAAGATTTTAAGTATTGTAATTTTTAATTGATTCAAAATCAATTTTGAATCAGATCAACTTTTATTTGAAACATTTTTTTATTACATTACTGAAAATGCTTTAAAAGTTATTATACCATTTTGCTGAGATAATTATGATCAAACAATGAATATTTATTTTGTTAAGAAATGATTTATCACATAACAATATATAATACGTTTATTAAAATATTTTAAAATATGTAAAAAAATATATAACATTATTTAAATATATAACACTATTTCAGTAATTGTTTTTTACATTATTTTTTTATTGAGTACTTATTATATGAAATCATAAATATTAAATATGAAATATGAAAATGTACTTTAAAAAAAAATTTTTTAAATTAATAATTAATATTAAAAATTAATCTTAAGAAATAGAATAAATAATGAACCAAAAAAAATTAAATTACAAAAAAATATAGATATATATAGAGATTAAACAAATATTTTCAACAAATTAATTTTTCCACATAAAAAAAATTTATTAATAAAAATATAAAAAAAGTTATAATAATATAATGCAAATTATAATAAATAATAAATAATGATAATAAAATATTTATTTTTTATATAAATTTGTTTAGTTTATTTTGTATTGTTTATGTGTTATAATTATTTTTTTATTTACTATTTTTTATGTTTAAATAAAATTTAAAAAATTTAATGAATTAATTTAAAAAATATTTGATTTATAAAAAAATTATAAATTTAAATTAATTAATTAAATTATCAAAAAAAAATTCAATTAAGTATTAATATTAAATGTATGAAAATAAATGTTAATACATGAAAAAATTAACAAAAATCTATTATTATTAGAAAATTTTATTATTAGAAAATTATTATGATTAGAAAATGTTTTGCTTGAAAATACACCCAAATTTTTCGCACATTCAATCATTCAAGGATACAATTGTTACTAAAAGTAATTATAATTTTCGATAATAAAAGGATTATAATTGAAAATCACTTTTCGTTATTTTATTAATAAAATAAATCCGTCTAATTTCTTTGTCAATTCTTAGTATGTAAAATCAATCTATATATCTCATTTCACCTATGTAAAACGATTGAATCAAATCCAAAAACTCAGAAAATCAGAATTCAAGCAAGCAACATCTAGAAATACATTAGAATCCATACTCATTGCATATAGCATGATCTTAGAATATAATTATAATTTAATTTATAGTCTCCAAAAATTAGTTCGTAAGCACGAAATGATGTTTTGATTTAAATATTAGATATTGTAACTTTTGAACTAAATGAATTTCAAAAAATAATTTTAAATTATTGCAATTTTGAATGTATCAAACTAAAATTGAATTTTATTAATTAAAATTGTAATTTTATGTAATATTATTAAATGTTATAATGTAAATTATTATAATTTAAATTATTATTAAATTATTATGAATATAATATATAATATTATTTAAATGAAATATATTCATAAAAAATATATATTATAAGATATTTGTTACATTGATTTGTAATTGTATTAAATTTTTATATCTAAATATAATATTTAATCTATGATTAATGCGTTTATATAATTAAATATGTACAATATATGTAATTCATTTTCTCAGTAGAGGGCATTGTAAGCAATTGTATATGAAGCATATACAAGTATAATATAGAATTTCAAAGATTTATCGTTTATTTAAAAGTATATAATTATAATTGCTGTTACTTGTGTTCTAATAAAATAATTTTTATAATAAATATGACATCAGCAATAGAATCTATGGTTGTAGATGAAAAGCAATTACCAGAAAAGCCGATAGATAGAGAAAAAGTAAGAAGAAACATTAAAAATTTTCTAGAAATATCGATAAAGAATTAATACTTTTAAATTTTAAAAAGATTAATTACTTAATTTTTGTTATTAATATATTTGCATATTCTTATATATATTTTTCTAATAAATTTTTAGACATGTCCCCTTTTATTGAGAGTATTTTGCAATACAGGCAGACATCATAATATAATGGAATACAGTAGAGGAAATGTTCCTTCAAATGAATTACAAATATATACATGGTAAAATGTTTTATATTTAAATATTTATAACATTATATTTATTTTCATTTTATAATTTATATAGAAATAAAACGAACATTTAGAATTTTCAAGTAATATTTATTCAACATATAGGATGGATGCAACTTTAAGAGAAATTACAGGATTAGTTAAAGAAGTAAATCCAGATGCTAGAAGTAAAGGAACATATTTTGATTTTTCATTAGTAACACCAGAATTACGAAATTCTGGATATCGTATGCGAGAAATTGGTGTGACTTGCTCAGGACAAAAAGGTGCAGATGATAATAAAACACTTGCCCAAGCAAGGTATGTAAATTTATTTTTTTTAATTAAAGTTAATGCAAGACTAAAAATTTTAATTTTTAACATTTTAATTATAGGTTTACAATTGGTGATTATTTAGATATATCAATAACACCACCAAATCGACAACCAGCAATTAGACGTGGTGCATTACGTCAATATTGATTTAAGTAATAAATATTTTTATTTTTTGTAAGTTATATTAATTTCTTAGTTTTCTATTAATAAAGAATATGTAATACTATAAAATTATTATGTAACATAATTTATTTTTTTTATTTTAAGAAAGTTTATTGTTCATTTTTATTAAATATTTTATTTAATAATAATTTTTATTAAATATTAATTAATTTATTAAATATTTTACTATTTAAGTAAATTAATTATATTTACTAAAAAATTAATTTGAAATATTAAATAAAATTGAGATTTAATAAATATTAATATAATTTTTGTAACAAAAATATTTTTAAATAAATTAAATTAAATATAAAATTGTTATTTATATATGTATATTTTAAAATATATTCAAACAGAATGCATTGATGCATTATTACTTATCAAAAAGTTATAATACTTGAAATTTCATAGAAATGTTAATTGTATTAATTTTGTCCAAAAATTTTAGGTAAAAGTTAAATATTTTTATAAACAATTTAATTTAATATTAAGATTTTATAGAAAAAAAAAATAATTTGTTTTATAATATATATATAATATAATATTATAATATATAACATATAGAATGAAATACATAAACTGTAATAAAGTTGTTTTTTCAATATTTTAAATTCTAATATATGTTTTGTTTTTTAAATTAAATAATTTATAGAAATTAATTATAAAGAATGTAATATTTTTGGATTTTCTTTGAGATTTAAAAAAAATTATTCCATTTTTTAAAAAATATATATGATATTAAAATATTAAATATAAATATAAATATAATGAAATATAAATATTAATCTTATGTGATATAAAATATATAATCTAATATTCATTATTTTGATATTTTTAATATTTATTTTATTCAATTTTAAAACAATTATATATTATCAGTTAAAAATGAAAAAATGTGTACAATATATGACCAAAATATGAAATTAAAATTTATGATAGACAAAAATTTATTAATAAAAATTAATAAAATTATTAATTTTAATTTTAAGCCAGTTAAGTTAACAAAATCAATGATGGAAATAATTTATATGTTTTATAATTTTTAATATTATTAATTTCTGATTTCTAATCAACTTTTTTTTTTGTTCAAATTTTCAATGAAATATTGAAATTGCAAGATTGGCTAATGTTGATAATAAATGTTGTATTGATAATAAATCAATTTCAACTCTATCATATTTTTATTAAGAATACTGCATTGATTAGATATTATTCCATTAAAAGATAGTTTTTTCAATATCTTAATTTAATCTTTTGTTAATGTTATAAATAATGATAAATATCTATGTAAGAATTATTGAATTGATTTAATGTAAAATATGATTTCAATCTTGTAAGAATTTTTTTAACATTTTTCGTATTTTTATTCTAAAATTTAAAGATTTGAATGAAATTTAAATAAATTTTAATCCAATTATTTAATAAAATTATTTAATTAAATTATAAATATATTTTGCATATACATATTAATAATTTATATATTATATAATATCTTATTACATAATATCATATTATTTTTTATTATACTGATTGTATGGCAAATATTAAATTCTGATCTTAACACTATTAAAAATTTAAAATCTTATTGTGTCAATAATAATTTATGATTAAAAGGAATCAGAAATTAATAATGCTGCAAAACAGAATTAATTTGAACAAAGATGATAGAAGAAATTTTAAATAATTACGTCTCTAGATATAAATAATCAAAAATGATAGAAAATTGACTAAATATTATATATAAATACTAAATATAAACATAAATATTAAAATTATATTACATAACATTATATATTAAAATTACATTGAATATATTTATATTATTTTTATAATTTGTATATTTTTTATATTTTTATAAAATATAATTCTAAGAAACTTTTTCTTTAAATTTATGAAGAAAAAATATTTGTTGTTTATTTTTTTTTACATATCATATAATAAACTTTTTCCATTTTTGTTTCATTTTCATGAAAATTATAAAAATTATGAAATATGAATAAATACTATTTATATAAAATGACAAAATTCTATAATAATAAGCAAAATCTTTTTTTTGTAAATATTTTGAAAATTAAAAGATGGTTATAATATATTTTTTTATAATTCTCTATAATATTTCAAAATTCTTAAAATCGATGAAATAGATAATATAAAAATAAATATATAAATAATAATATTTACATATATTATAATAATAGTATAATAATATGTTATAATATAAATATAATAATATTATAAATAATAAATATAAAATCAAAAATATTAATTTTTAGTGTTTCATCATACTATATTAAAAAAAAATTCTAATCAAAATCAAAGAACAAAAAAACATTTTTCAAAAAAATAGCAAAATACTGAAATTCTAGAAATTGATGTTATTCTCTAAAAAAAGATTTTTTTGTTGATTAAAAATTGTTCCATGAATTATTAATTTTTGTTTAAATATTAAAATCCGAATTTTTGATTTAAATAAATTTATTTGTAAAATAATGTACTTTTATGTTTATAAAAGACTGTACATGGACCTTTATTTTTTATCAAAAAAATTTTGAAAAATTTTAATATCGCAATTTATAATCATAAAAAACTGATTAAAATAGAATTGTCGGCAAAGTAAGAGATTAAATTGTTTAAATCAATTATGATATAAACTAATATTTCAAATTGCTATTAAATCTATAAGAAATCATTCGATCAATTAATGGAATAATTAATTAAGTTTAAATATGTTATTTCATAATTTTATTAACGCTAAAAAATTTTTTGTCCTCGTGAATATTTATAATATAGAAATAAATGAAGTTATTTAAGAGTATTTATTTATTATTTATGATCTTCTTAGATTTCGATATCCATGAAATATATCATTAAAGTCGTTATTTTAAATAACATTTCATGTTATTGTTTGATTTTAGTTTCTAAAATATTTACAAAAAACTTTTTTTAAATTTACATTATAAATACATTCATTCTGATGTGAATTAATGGTCATCTAATGATGATTATATTTCTATGTAATCTAATCCAAACAATAAAGAAAAAAATTAATGAATTATAGATTAATTAGATTAGATAGTCAGGTTAAATTTAATTGATTTATAATATATATTGCTTAATGGCAATATATATTTCTTTATAATATTTTTTCAATATGTTTCTTAACTATTAACAATCTTATCATTTGTGCAATTAATTTATCATTTAAATTTAATAATTTTATTGCATATTATATGTATATTTTCGCAAATTATTGACAAAACATGATTCGGAATATATATTAAATATCCAAATATAAGCAATAATATTTTTGAAATAGAATTAATTATTTAGTTTATACTTTATATTTTATTATCAAAAGTTTTTTGATAAATATTTTACAAACTAAACCGAGCCATGATAACATATATAGAAAAGAATTGTTCAGAATGATCTTGACAATATATTTCAAGATCATTAAAATCGACAGCTATATTTCTAAATAATTATAGTAAAGACTACCGTATTCGAGTTAATAAGGAGACAAAAGTGGCCGATTAGTGGAATTTTTGAATAATAGAATAATTAAGAAATGAACAAAATTGACAATTTTTTTCAACATCTAAAAGTCCCATATCTTTTTAAGCGTTAAATCATATTTTTTATAATAAGTAGCTGCGTAGAATTATATTCCCATTGCGCTTCAAATCATCGAATTGAAAATTTATACATGTGATAAATATCATTGCAAAATATACTAATGTTTCTTAATGTTTTTCTCAGATTTCGTTATTTTACATCATAAGAAAGATTGAAGATTCACATTGAAAAATAAAGAAGGAATCAATTATATTATGATATTTGCAAAACCAATTGCCATTTAAGAATCATACTTATAAAAAATGCATATCGTTCTCTATACTAATGAAACTCTATACTTTGGAATATATCTGAATAATTTGCATTTGATATTGCATTGAAAGAAAAAATATATATCAATATATACATTGATATACATCAATATTACCGATTATATAAATTATTATATTCACTGTGCGTATATATGCGAGTCGTTGTTCGTTTATCGTGCATATTTGAGCAATATATTTGAGAAACATAGAATTCAAATAATTAATACGAGTTAGCCTGCGAGATATGAGAGAAATTTGATCGTATAGTTTTGAATTCGAAAAATTAAAAAACTGAGAAACCAAGGAAAAACAATTATTAGATTTTTATTGCATTATCTGTTATCATGTGTGAAAAATTCGAAACAACTGAGAAAAGAATTTGCCATCATTATCATGTTACAAATATGTGACTTTATACATTTGAATTATAATTTAAATTATCAAAATTCGTTTATTATATTTATCACATTTCATAATTTGTTCAATTTGAACTCATATTTTATTCGTATTTTAAGGGATTTGTCAATATATTCAAAAATAAAAAGTTTTTATCACTAACCATAGAGCAATGTATTTTTTTTACGAAATATGTTGCAGATGTCCATCATAGAAGAAAAAATACATCAAGTTCCACTATTCATCGATTGTTTCAAATCTTGATAAATTATATTTTGGAAAAGATTAAATTATGCGACATGTTTAAATATCTTCCAATTTTAAATTTCTTATATGCATTTATCTGTATGTGAATTGATTTTTCGATAATCACATATCTAAGGAAAATTAAAGAAGGAAATTTATATTTTGACGTTTGATCACCTTTTTATATTGAAATATTAGGCGAATATAATGATTTTTATAATAAATATAAAGAATTTCTTATAAACAAAATTACTATTCTAATTTGTGATAAATAATAAGTATTTCATTTTTCAATATATATATATATCTTATTTTTTTCCATTCCTAAACATTTATATATTACGTTTCTCAATTAAATTGATTTAACGTCATGGCAATTGAATCAATGCAAAAAATGCTAGTGTTAAAACCCGGACTCGTGAAATGGTCGGGTCCTATTCTATTGTCAACAGTTCGAGTACCGGTCAAACAATTTAACACTAATTTATGAGAGGGTGTTCGTATGGTTTCCAGATCTTAGTTTGAACAGAGACCATAAT